CACAGTTTACCTCAGAACTGTTGTTGTGAGGTATTTCTTATCCTAACAATGCAACAATCAGATATAACCATTTTTTATTCACCGTGCTGCCAGCATGGGATTATAGCAAAATGCAAATACGACTGAAATCTCGTGACTCGGTCTCGATGTTCGGTTCAGAAGACACGAGATACCTCGTGAGTCGTTGAGTTAATACTTTATAAATAAAGCCCAGTTAATTAGCAAAATCGCGTCTTCAACAGGCATGCTTTAACCGTTCAAACCACCTTTCACTGTCAACGGACATTATCCGACTTTTTCAACCTCGGATTTACTTCGCGAAAGGACATCGTATCGTGACATAGTTAAGAAATTATTGGTACTTAGACCTTGCGATGTACAGCGATATCTTGCCTCGCGTGACTTCGCCAGACGTGCTACTTCGTGAGATGGCAGTGCGTTAAAAATCTTGGCGAGTGACAGTCAAGGCTTCTCTCTCTCTCTCTCTCTCTCTCTCTCTCTCTCTCTTTCTCTCTCCCGATAATTTTTAATTCTTAATTCAATATTAATTTTTAATAATTGAAAGACGTACGAAAGGCACCGAGAAAAAATTTTTTTAATACTCTCAAATATTATGTTCGGTATTGTAATCGAAGATACGTCTGATTAAGAAATTTGTAAAAATATCTGCAATATTATTTGCAATGTTAATACGCCTCGAGAATTTGTGTTTGCCAGACGACTGGTCTTTCGAGCAGTCTTCCGGAAGTAAGAATAACTCAGGCAGCACGCATGTTTAAAGACGTTTTAAAGATTAGCCTTTAATGCGTCGTCTACAATGCGTGGAGTAGGCATGAAGCAAGGAGTAGTATTTCTTACTCCTACTTGAGCTCTTACGCTTACTCTCGGCAAATCAGAACGCCATTGGCCAGTGTTGAAATATTTTAAAAATTACACCTGTATTTTAGCTTCCTTACACCAAAAGCTAGAGATTATGATTCTCTCTTACTCCTCACGTCAGGCTTAGTCCACGCATTGTGGACGACGCATAAGACTTTACCAAAAAAAAACAACGTAAGCGTCTCTTCGAAGAGACATGTCTGAAAGTTTGTCTTTTGTAAGACATTTTTGGAACATGTGCTAGGATTTACACAACCGACTATAACATTTATAGATTAAAATACATACGGCATGGTCAATTTGAGTATAACGTAGACTATAAAAATAATCACTGCTGGCTAATTTAGTATTTAAATATTGTGCATTGTTTAGTGTCAAAATGACATAATTGAAGCAAAGCACGTGTTAACAAGTGAAAGCATACTAGTGAAAGAAACAGAAGCTGACACGTCGGTATATCAATGATTTACCCGACTTTGCTAACGACAAAATCGATTCCTATTGATAACAGATAGATTGTTATCAGAGTTACGTAAATATCAAATTATTTATATACTATGTGTATGATTTATTAAGCGACACCAGCTCCTCTTTTGTATCTTTCTCGTTGCCAACATACGGCTCCGTATTATTATTAATTCTTATTTTACAATATCGACTGATCTCTTTCGCGATTTCTGGCTTTTATGCTTAAACTGGACCAGAATGAGCGTTTAAGCACAAAGACCGAAAATTGCGTACAATCGAGATACGACCTCGCGAAAGAGATCAGTCGATATGTCGACAAGTGGTGTAAAATAAGACGTCTGGAAAACATCATAAATCGAATCGTAATGACGTTCCTTTCTGATAGTTTTATATAAAACGTCTTAAAACGTCATAACGTTCCCTGGGAATCTACTCGACTGGCAGAACCAGAGACGTTCCAAATACGTCTGTTGCAAATTGAATCTTCATACATATAAATTAACAAGCTCGAGATATCATCGAGGTGGAAATGAGGATCCGCGCGACGTACGACGTATACTTATTGAGAGTAAATTACAGACGACTGCTTATGAATTTGGATCGAGGCTCGGGCGATAAGCAACACGCAACGATTCGCCGGATCGCGCGCGTCCTGGTAGAATAAATCGAAACACGCAACTCACGCACGCCGTTTGCATAATGCGGACGCGCTAGTCCGCGATCTATCCGCGCGCGCGAGAGCAGAATTAATCCTTCGCGGCACAGAAAACTTTTTGCGCGGAGGAAAACGACCCAGGGGAAAAAAAACATCACCCTGTAAAGGATGCGAGAAACACGGCGAGTGCGCTAACTGTACCAGTTCCATGTCAGCCGCGACGATCTCTCGCGCGTGAAACAGCGGCTAAAGTAAACCGCTGCCGAACCGAAACGCGAACCGCCGATGCCTGAATCGACGTCTCTCATTTTGTTATAATCTCTAAATTTTTTGGAGTGGAATCTCACTCTTTTGGAGTGAGATTTCACACGAAGAAATTCTGAAAATACTACCAGGTCGATTGGAGTGCAATTTCACTTTTTGAAAGAGTGCCGTTATTCACTCTTTTACTGGGATTCGGTGCGTTTTCTCTCTTAAATAATTTGCGTACTTTTCATTTGAATAGACTCCAACGGCCTTTTCCATATATAATTATTTAGTGTTTTTCGTTCCCAGTACGTACATTTCTGTACGGAATGCCAAGATCTATCCACGCCTCGATACTCCTCTTGCTTGCCAACTCTATTTTACCGAATAAAGTGGGAGTAATATGTCAGCAGGACGAACCCAGAGCGATGCTTGATATCTCGCTCAATGGTTTGGTAGGTCGTCATGTGGACTTATTGTAGCATGCTTTATTATTAGCAAATTGTAAGATCCTTTCGAGAGCATTACTCTTTCCATGTTCTTTTTCTTTGCGGTGCATGCGCGCGCTTATGATATGTAGATAGAGGTGTGCGTGAAGGAGATGAGCGACGGACGACTCCTCATATCGTTGAATAAAATATATAGACGGAAGCTCAACTTATTTCAGACCCTGCTGTCTTGTGCGAGGCAAGCCCCAAGGAAGAAATATCCGCTACATTATTGAAGATAAGAGTAGTCCGCGGTAAAAATCGCGCCGAGAGATTTGGCAGAAAGTGGCGAGGGGTCGTCGAAAATGCCGGAGATGCCACGCGCATTCGCGTGTATGCTATAATAACGACACTCTCGCGGCTGCAAATTACGGGTACCGCATACCAATCCGACCAGTCCGTATTCACCTTGCGAGCTTCCTCCCTTGCAGCTCACTCGTACGCGAAATGAAGATATCAGAGCCCGGCTGGGCCTGCCTGTGCCTCCTCACACGCGTCGACCTTTATTACGAGATGCCCTTTAAACTCGGCGCAGAGCACGTGAGAGCAAACCTAGCGAGCACAATTTTAATGTTTAAGCATTCATTTTCCCACGTAGTACTTTCTACTTTTCGAAAGGTAGACGTAAAATAGAAATAGCTACACGGGGGAAAACCGTAAGAGATGCAGGCGCGCATTATTTTGCATCGCCGGAAAACATGGCGACATCATGATCCTCGCCTCGACGATTTAACTCAAGAGGGAATGCTATACTTTGGATAAATTCCAAGTTTTGAAAAAATATAATAAAAATATAACACTTGCACGGAGAGAATTTCTCTTAAAGTTTATCCTAAAAATCGTGTAATCGTGGGGCAGGCATTTCAAAGCATTTTATAAGGGTTTTTAATTTTATCATACATTCTATTAATAAATATATCATACATTTTAGTAATAGAACGTATCGAATATGAAATCTTCTAGGTCGCCAGTAATAATTAACAAATCTAGTATACTTTATTATTTGACCATAACTGGCAAAATTTTTAATAAAGAGAAGAAAATTTTGCCAGTTATGGTCAAATAATAATAAAGTATACTAGAATAGAATGTATGTTAAAATTTCAAAAACTCATAGAATTCTTCAAAATACATTACATGATTTTCAGGGTTAATTTTAAGAGAAAATTCCGAGGGGTAAACCGCTGACCAAAATCATGTACACCAATGCCCACTAATGCCCAGTGGCCATTACCTTATTTTCTCTTTATCTTATTTTACCTTTCTTATATTTTTAGACTTTTTAAAATGCCTCAGAAAGGCCACAGCCTCTAATGCCCAAAGAATACCTAGTAATCCCTAGTATCTGCCCGAAATCTGTACACCACAATGCCCTCTCTCCATGTGTAGATTCTAAGAAGATCGGAGAACATCACAAAATGGGATAATCTACGGATTATCCTCAGAATATTTTTAACTAAGAATAGTTATATTTTAAGTATATTCTGTAGAATGTGCTCCTTGGTGGAGTATTTTACTGAAAATATGAAATTTTGCTGAAATGTATTCGAAAATCTCTCTTAATATCGATCCCGTTTTATTATCATTTCACCAATGTGTCAGTAAAAAGTCAGTAAAAAGTAATTTTCATTAAAAAATAACACAGTAATTAACTTCAGTACATCTCATAATTTATCTGATCTTTTATCATTCTTTTATTACTTTTCAACAACATATTTTAACTTTCCTTGCATTTCGCATTGCATTGAATTTCATAAAGAAAATTATGACTTATGTCGAGATATACTCATTAATTTTTCAATAACTTTTATTACTATTTCATCAATCAATTTCAGTGAAAATGAAGTGGAAAAAAATCACGTTCACCAAAAAGTAACATTGTCAGTGAAATTCAGTAGATTTCTTAATCTTTTCATCACTTTTCAACAGTGTACTTCAACTTTCCTTGTATTCACATTGAATTTCATCAAACTATAATTTATTTAGAGATACGTTTAGTAACTTGTCATTTACTACGTTTCGTCGATTTCGTACTTTCAGCACGATGTTTCCCTCGGATAATTAAATTGTACACTACAGGTACAACTAAACAATTGAATGTTAGCCCAAAATCAGGATAAGAGCGGCGGTGTTGAAATGGTCGATTTTAGACCGCTCCTGCATCCAATTCCCGCGATTCTTTGGGGAGACGACTTCTGCGAGTCGTCAGATTTGTCTTTTGCGAAGCGCGTGCTCCGAACCGGAGGCGGTCTCTGCAAACTTACCATGACTGGTGCACGTGCGCGCCTATATGTCATCTAGCGTCACAGTTGCTGACCGTTCAGCAGGGGCATGTCTACGAAGGAGACAATCGGAGCGGCTGGCGTCGAGAGCGAAATTTGAAATCGTCGTCCCTCTCTTTCTTTCTCTCGCTCTCTCTCTCTCTCTTTTCCTTCCCTTCTCTTCTCTATTTCTTTCTCTCGTCGTGTCGTTGCACCTTACACAGTCAACACGAATCACATCATACGCAAGCACATTACACACGGGAGAGACGCGCGCCGTAAACGCCTCCTCCACTTTTCCACACACAAGACACGCGTATAAAATCCTCCTCCGCCTCTCCGGATCTACCGGTACAATCAAGGGAGGACTATCCGAGGGATCTCCGCGCGATCGTCGGCATCGATACCGAGGAGGACTCGATCAGTGGGTCAATGGGGTGAGTGGAACCTGTCCACCCCCTCGACGAGGAAGCCGCGTTTCCGGCGACGCGTCTGCTTCTCTGTTCGGCGAAGGAACGCGTGGCCGGCTCGCCGCGTACGATCGCGCCAGTTAAGATGGGCAGGAGAAGCGACGGACGGATTTTCAACCTGGCGGACACCGACTGAGCCCACGACCGGCAGGTAGGCGAGCCGTCGCCCCTCCACCGATCGCTCGGTGCCGCACCACCACCGGTCGCCGCTCACCCGGCTCACCGCGTTCTCCATTCCCATTTCCTTTGCTTCACTTGCCTTCGCCGCTCCTTCTACTCTCCTCTCCTTGCTCGCCCTCCTTCGCCCGCACGTACGCGCGTTTCCCGCAGAGACGGCCGTGCCGTCGGGCGAACTGGGTGATCGCGCGTGTGAAAGTGCACCGTCGCGCTCGACGTGTAACGATCGCACTCGTGTACATCCTCGTAAACGCTTTCGTCGGGATTCTCGCCGCGAAGACCTCCCACGTTAACGTCAGGTTCTCGCACGCGCTAAGGCAGCCGGACACTTGTATAAATAAAATCGTTCGTTAAATCGTCAGGCACATTTCCGTGAAAATTTCACTCGATTATGGACACCTTTTGCGTCTACAAGATCCTCGTGCCGCGCAAAAATCTCGTCCCTACGTCGCGAAAAAGATTCAGGTGCGAAAACCTGATTAAAATATCTTCGTTAAAAATACACGTGCAGGCGCTCCGCGTTAAAGAGAAACGGAATTTCGCTTAGAAAGTTTTTTTTGACATAAAAACTTTCGCTACGAAACGCATCGAAACATCGTGAAGCGCGATCTCTACCCTGAACTGCAATTAATTTACAAAGGCCTCGTATTTGCAGACTCGCGCGCGCAAGGGCTTCGTATTAGAGAAGGCTAAGATTTCATCGGGCTTGGCATATAGAAGTTAAATATCTATAAACGCTTTATCACCGAAGCCTTTGTGTGGGCAATGACTCGCTCAATGAAGTAGAACCGCGCGGTATTCATTAGTAGTAAATACGTTGCCTAGGGCACCATTAGCTCTAAAGCCGCCTCTGTCTCCCTCCGTACGCTTGTACCGTGGCTTATTAACGCACAAGCGGTAGACCATAGTCATCATGTTCTATCTGCGTTAACGAGATTACGTCCCGCATAATTATACGCCTCTCGGTGAAGGATTATTACGGTCAAACTGTATGCGGCTACGGACAACAGTTGCAAACAGTTTGTGCAAAGTCGCAATAGTTGCAAGTGTTAAGACGCAAAATATAATCGCTCATCCGTTCACCGTCGCACTATATAATCCGGCAATCTTATCAATAATTTAATGTGTTTCTGTCTTAGTTTAACTGAAGCTTAACTTTTGAAAGGAATCGACAATCTCATGGTTTTTTAAAAGCAGACTATACATTGAACCTCGTTAGCTGCAATAGGAAGATAACGCAGGTTCTCGCTGTCAATTGGCAGCATTACGATGTATATATTTAACTATAGGTATCATTTTATTGATAGATTGACCTGTGGACAAAATTAATGAGATGCAATAACAGCGTCTGATTTCCCGTCTTCTTCTACTTCTGTTGCTGCTGCTTCGAGTGTACCATCTTCAGACAGATACTGCTCGAAGTCAACTTTAAGCATTTCTTTCGATTGCGAACATACAATACGAGTTCTGTCGGAGCATAATAATCATAATTATTTACGTGTGTACGTAAAACCATGATCATTTTAATACCAAAATGATTTTGAATGTTACCTTGTGATAAAAGGTCCCGGTCGACGTGGCCTTGCATCGTGGACATCTTTAATAATGGCAGCAAAATTCTCCTCCAACTGTTTCGTGTCCATGTCGAGCTGTAATATAATCAATTAATTGGTAATTTATTTTTCAGACCAATATAAAATGTACAATTGGCACCGATATCTGTTTGTAACAACCCAGTCAGCAAAATGTTAACAGACTGGCATCAGATTGACAGCAGATTCGTCAGAAACTCACACCAAAACCATAGCCAACTGTGTCCGCATTTGGCTTTTATTTTGGCAAAGTCTTTAAAACATACGCTGTCAACAGATTGTCAGCAGAAACCGAGCAGGTCCAGTTATGCGAGCGGATTTTGTTCTCTTTCTACTGACATGCTGGCAACATGTCGAATGTATCAGTTCCTGTGTACAATCTGCAGTCTTTCTGCCTTCAAACTTTCTAGTGGGCATTTGACAAAATCTGTTCTGGCAGATCTGGCTATCTGGGAATACAAAACATTTATATATAAATAACATGAAGAACCTACCGTTCCAAATGCAATATCAATGGTGCCATAAGACTTCAACAGCTCATGCGGCTTCGCCGTATACATTATGCCGTTTAGAAATTTCGTTACAAGCATTTTTACGTCGGCACCCAGGGTACCTAGTAGAAAACAAAAATCGCACAATAAAGAAAATATTTATTTTAAGACTGATGTAAATTGTAGTTTCAAAGATCTTGCGCAAAATGTATACTTTAAAGCCGAATTAATAACAATTTTGAATTAGATAGTTCATACGTTGCTTCTTTCTCTTACATACTATTAACCAAGCAAGACATTTAGCATTAAGTATTTATAATAAACACTTGAATTCCAGACACTGTTTGGTATATATGTACATACGTTCTATGTTCTATGCTACTACGTGTGCACTACTTTCTATGCTAATGTATTTATGCAGCACACGTGGAATGCAGTTAATGTATCATGAAGATGAAAATTTCTAAGTATAATCACATATTTCTCCACTGACCCGATTTAACGCTGGGAAACTTCTTCCTCATGAGTCCCCTAATGAGCAGCAAATCGGGTAAGATACCTGGTTCTGACACCACAACGTCGTATTCTTTCAACGAAAAGTCTCCATTCTGAAGCAATTAGAAATTCCGTCAGTGACGATTTAGCGAAAGACATAATCTTGGCAAGCACGTGTTACACGAGGGGTAAACTGACCGCTGACCAAAATCACGTACACCAATGCCTACTAATGCCTCAGTAAGGCCTAATGCCCAAACTAATGCCCCAAAAATGCCTAGTAATGCCCAGTAATGCCGCAAATCTGTACACCACAATATCCTCAGTAGTTTACCCCTCGACGTTACATGATAGACAGCACGCACGATGGACATACGAACGATTGTGATGAATTTTGAGAAACAGCAAGAGGAAAACCCCATATTACAAGATAAGCTTCTAATATGACATAAGACAGGTTTTCAACATCCACATCACAAATCTTTTTTCGCAGCAACTACGCGATTTAACAATGAATTTTCCACTAAATAGACTTTACTCCAAGGGCAATAAATTCATGCTGGAATCAACAGACGATGCCTGTTAATTTAGCAGAAACTCCGCCATCTCATATTAGGAGCTTATCTCATAATAGGAGACTTTGCTTTATATTATCTCACCTGAATCTTCTTTATTAACCATTTACCACCGGCGAAGTGAGCTCCAGCCTCCTTTGCAACATCCTCCATTTCGGAAGTTTGACAGAACGCCAATACCTTCCTGTTTTGGCCATGACTGAACACGTGCGGTAGACACACTATTCGTGTGAAAGCATCGACAAATTTGGTCTTCTTTATGCCCTGTTAACACACGATTATATACAGTATCGTCCAAAATTATACCTTTGGATGTTTAGAGCATAACTAGCTTTTAAGTGCACGAATGAAAACTCGGAAAATTATGGTGTACTTTGTCAAATTTCATTGCCCTTCGCTCTCTCTCTCTCTCCTGTCTACATATTTTCTTTTTGGGAGCCTTCACAACACTTTGGAATATTTAAAAAATCCGTAACTTTTACGATGATGAGTTACATCTTTTAGGTCCAGTTTCACAAACGTCGGTTAACTGTTAACCAGAGTTCAGTCGACTTCATATCTTTCTCTATCTTGTTATCCAAAAAGAGACAGA